GGGGAAATATGAATTTCTTAGGTCTTTCATCTTTTCTAGAATATGAACATGTGAAATTATAAAGATATGTTGTGTTACATGGGCATTGCGTGGGAGAAGTGTCAGGACAAACACAACTAATTCCCTTGCAGCTTGTGTTAAATTTTGGTGGAAAGTGCTGTCGTGATACATGATTTGATCATTTGCTCACTTATTTTGTATAGTTCTTGTGTGCTTAATATATCTGGCATATTACTTAGACTTTGGCTTGTTGATTTCAGGTTAATATTATTGTGGATAATTTGAATATTGAAAATGTAAACACCGTAAATTTGAGAGCCGCTGCATCTGCAGCTCTCCTTCTTTTACCAGCTGAGTTCAGTGAGGTTAGTTGGTATAATAATATTATTCTCAAAAACTTTTTGCATAGATAAAGTCCTGCTTATGTTAAATCTTCTTGCAGGAGGACTTATATGCCAAAATATGTAGCCTGTCATACATGGGCGACTTGCGTATGTTTTTTGCAGAGGATAAAAATAAGGTATGGGTGAGTGGACCAAAGATTTAGAGTTTTCTTGAAAAGAGTTTCTTTTCGAATATCACCCGCCATTGTGGCATGTAGTCTATAGAGTAAGATGGTGTTATTCATTCCTTCACAATATGCATACAACGGCAGCAACAACATCCAATCCTCAATCCCATAAGAGTTCGGGGTCGGGTAACTTGAATCAACATATGACATCAGAGTGAAAAATAAATAAAATAATAATAATAAATAAATAATACAAGTAATAAATAGAGAGTGGAGAACTTTACAGTATGCATATGTTTATAAAATTATCAGGACAATGTGGTGAAGCTGAAAAGCATTGGGATGAGAATACGCTGGCATTCAACATTTTTGGTATAGGAAAAAAATGAAAAGTGGAAACTTTTTCACATTTAAATGCTTATATTTATAGTGTTAATTAATTTTCTAAAATTGTTTGTTGTTATAAAGTCATTGAAATAAGCGCAATGCGAATGCCTTATGACAAATATCCTTCTTAATGCAACATTGTTATGAATTAACAAGAGGTGAAATTCTAAAACCGCCAATTGACCTATGTTATTTTTACTTTGCACCATATACCAATGACTTGAGGGGGGGGGGGCTTGGTGCACTGGTTATGGTAGTGTTGTGTGACTGAGAAGTCACGGGTTTAAGTATAGGGAACAACTTCTTGACAAGGGAAAGCTTGATCCATATGCATGCTTGTGGTGGGACCCTTCCTTGAACCATTGCCTTGTGGGGCAGCAATGTGCAACAGTCTGCTTTCGTTTTTACCATACGCCAATGATTTGAGATAATTGATGTATAAAGCATGATGTGATTTCTCTCTGGCATCTCAAATGTTGGTAATTACACTGGAAGAATAAAAAAAATCTGAAATTGGAATAATGGCTACACAAAATCATAATTTGCCAAGGACTACCAAAATCATTTTATTATAAGCTTTCAAGCAAAATTGTTAGAAACTTTGACTCATCGTTCGTTTTTCTGTACTTATGTCTTCTATAGCACATTATTCGATATTTACTTTCATACTTCATATATGACTACCATATGTTTGACTTATCTATCCACCTTATTACTCCGTATTATTCTATACTAAATATAAGTGATATAACTCTTCTTTAATCACCATACCCCTAGGTGAAAAATATTGTACAAGGACAATTTCACTTATTCCAAAGAGCTTATAGACCATTTCTAGATGAGTTTTCTGCTGATGGCTTGCTGAGGTTTTCATCAACAGATGACAGGAAAGCAAGTATATCTCAGGTGTCTCCACAATGCCTCAAGCTTTTGAAACACTCCCATCTTATTCTTTTATTTTCATTGGGTGGGGTTTGTTGCAAATAATTGTGTCCTGCATTACTTGCAATGTATTAAAGTTTGATGAGCCTTGGCATTTTGTTACCAGGATTCAGGATTATCTGCTGCTGCTGTCTTGGTGTCACACCTTCCTCCGCTTATTAGAAGCAAAGTAGAGGGGGCGAATCTTGCAGGGTTCAAACAATTGGATAATGATAGTGGTATGTGTTTAAATATAATCTGTGAAAAACTTCGTATGGGTCTTTGCATTTCTTTTAACGTTTCTACTTGGTAGTAGTCTGGTTAGTTTGAGCTCACTAAGATAATGTCATGTATCCTAATTGAGCTATTTGGGATTTGCCTGGAACCCGGCAAATTCTACCAAATGAATACAAGAGGAAATTCATTTTCATTTCATTTTCATTTACCCCAGTGCCGCAAAGGCTCCCACCTACGGTAGGGTAAGAGGGGGGTCGGATGTACATAGTCTTACCCCTGTACTAAAGCACAAAGAGACTGTTTCCAGATGACACATAGTGAAAATTGCGTCCAAAATTGCATGGACTGACTGCTGCTTCCTAACAAAGAAGCGCAGACAGTTTAGTGAGCCATTTTGCTTTATTCCATCATATTCTCAAGCCAAAAAAATAATGAATCTTTGGCTCCATTGCAAATGATGGAAATTGCAAGGAAACAAAATATGTGGGCATGTAAGTAAAATAAAATACAGACTAAGGCTCCGTTTACGGAAAGAAAATTTCCAGGAAAATGTTCTCTGTTTTTTGTGTTTGGCACCATAAGGAAATTACTTTCCTTGATTCTTTGGCATTTTTTTTTTTAATTTGTTTTCTGTGTTTATAAAAGAGGAAAATAGTTTTTTCTTAAAGAAAGAAAAGAATGAAGATAATTCTTGTAAAGGGCATGCTTTCTCCATCTTAGGTCAAATGTTATATTATGCGGAGTAAGTACTTATCCAGGGATAAAATTCAGGAACGTACGTTCAATTACGGAGTATATTCTAGGAAAAAAAGGAGACTACATTTCAATAATTTCATGTCAGATAATCTTTTAGATGTTCAAATTAACTTTTCACCACTCGGTCAATATGTCCTCAATATTATCTTCATTCTTTTCTTTTTCGCCCGTCCCAATATAAACTCTTCCTTCCCCTTTTGTCAAAGAATGTGTAATTCACAACATTTGTCCCCCACTTTATCGCTGTTATGCACAACCACACATTTTTCTCCTTCTTAATCCGTGTGTCAAGTCAAAACAGGAGTTAATATTGGGACGGTGGGTATATGTATCCTTGCTCTTTTTCCTTTGTGGGAGACATACACACCCTCGATCATAATGTTTCAGGAAAAATGAGACAAGGCGCAGGGATTGGTTCAAAAGCAGAGGCTGCCAAATGGATGAGTAGAATAATAAGAAGAAAGGTTTTGGTTTCAAGTGGAAGGCAGGCAGTAGCAGGTCTGCTGACTGCTGGAGCTTTTCATGGCTTCAGATATCTGGGAACCAAGATCCTCAAGTCTGCCAAATCTTGGATATAATTGTCCCACTTCAGCCACATTCTCCTTTCTTTAATAAATACTCCCTCCCCTCATAATAAACTTTGTCAGATTGGGATGTTTATACTTAGCTGTTTTCCGTCCCAGATCCAATTAGACCAGACATGGATAGTTATAAAATATACAAAGAATAGACATTTACCAGACCTGTTAGAATAGACCAAATCAGAAAATTTGAGTCCAAGTAAAAACATCCTTAGAATACAGAATAATAAAATCACCTACGGACAAGAAAGTAGTAAAAATTTACAAAAAAATTGGGACAAGAAAGAAAGAAAAGAAAACACCGAGTAATAAAGTATAAGGGAAATTATCATCCCAATATTATCACTTGTTTTAACTTTTTACTTAGAGTCTTAGACTAAAAAAGTAGAAATCATTTGATTGAATTCGTCGAGGATAGAGAAGTTTTATACTCCCTCCGTCCCGAAAATAACTTCCCGGTTGGACTTTCACACACTTTTAGGAAATAAATTTGATTTTACTGTAGAATGCACTGTTTTGCACTGTTTAAACACTGTTTCGCACTATTTAAACACTGTTTGGCATTGTTTATCACTTTTTGATGTAGATAATTTGCCAAATAAGGAAAGTATTGAAGTGTGAAGTTAATTTTGGGACATCCATTTAAGGAAAGTGGGAAGTTGTTTTCGGGACGGAGGGAGTATAAGAAAAATGAAGTACTCCCTCCGTCCCGCAAAGATGTTCCCGCTTTCCTTTTTTGGATGTCTCAAAAAGAAGTTCCCTTTCCCTAACTGGAAAGTTATCCTACATCAAAACAGTGTCAAACAGTGCAAAACAGTGTCCAAACAGTGCTAAACAGTGTCTAAACAGTAAAGTCAACTTTATTTCCTAAATATGTGTGTAGGTCAAACCGGGCACATCTTTGCGGGACGGAGGGAGTATATTTTAGGACGAATGGAAAAGAAAAGAATAGAGTTTTGTCGCTTTTTGTTTATGGAAATGGGCAAAGTTAATTTTTCCTAATATCATTTAAACCCTCCTTGATAAAAAATTTAGATATTAGAAAAACTCTCAAGAGTTAAAAAGTGAATTTAGGATTGATAATCAAAATCAGAAAACAAAAGAAATTTTATAAATACTCCGTACTAAAATACTAAAGATGTAAAATTGAGTGGTGCAGCGGGCCTGCGGGGGTATGATAACTTTTTACAACTAATTTGAAAATCGCTCTGTACTTTCGTTGTAATAGCTTTTTTGGCAAATTGGTATGAAAGTCGTTGATGTCTTGATTAACAACAAATGTTATCTCTTTGTTCCTAAGAACTTTTTCAACATATGTTTGTAATGTTGGTAAGAGTACCTACATTTTACACTAGGAGTATGACTGTATGACAGCTGAAAAAATAAAGTTTTTTTAAAGGGAAAAAATAAAGGTTTTATATACTTTAATAGTACACTATTAAAGAAAAATTGTTAGAATGGGACTTCACAAACCCTACGGCGGTGAAGCAAACTCTACGGTGGAGATTGACGGACGAAGCTTGATCTGAAGGCTTTTGACAGTTGCATCTCAGCCCTGGGTAATTACCTTGGGGTGTTTTATCGAGTTGGGGGCGGTTTTCAAGCAATCGAAGCTGAGGTTTAGGGGCTGTTATTGAAGTGGTTCGTGCAGCAGGAGGCTATTTGGCTTGGGGGTGAATTTCTTGGGGCGAGTTTCGTCTTCAAGCGTGGATGTTTTTCTAGGTTTATCCTAGCCTATTTTTCCGGCGGCGAGCTTTGCTCCGCTTGTTCCGGCAGTTTTGTTCAATGAGTATTATTAGTTGGAATTGTCATGGACTCGGAAACCTGACAACAGTGCAATGCTTGGCGGATATTGTTCAGGCTCATCGTCCGTCTGTGATCTTCCTCATGGAAACTAAAATCTGATGTCAACGAGCAAAGGATTTACTACGGGGATATGGTTTTGCCCAGTCTGTGGGTGTGGATAGTGCGGGGCTTAGTGGGGGACTGGTCATGGGATGGAATGATGATCTTGAGTTAAATGTTGTACAGTGCCATGCAAATGTTATAGACACTACGGTCAGACTTGTCCCAAATGATCATGTATGGAGACTCACCTTTTTCTATGGATTCCCGGATACGGTGCGAAGAATAGAAGCATGGTATCTCCTACAGGATTAGGTAAAAATAATAACAAGCCTTGGATGATTTTAGGTGATTTTAATGATATTATATATGATTCGGAAAAGAAGGGGAACATCTCTCACCCACTCTGGCGACTCAGAGGCTTTAGGGAGGCGGTGGCATCGTGTGGGTTAAGGGATTTCCCTTTTGATGGATATCAGTGGACTTGGGAACGAGGTACTGATATAAATTACCATGTGGAGGAGAAATTGGACAGAATACTTGTTAATGATTACTAGTGGAACAGGTATACAGCGGTGTAGGCTCGATCGGTGGAGGCCCCTGTAAGTGATCATATGGCTTTATATGTGAAAATTATTCCTGCAGTCATGACGCGGAGAGCAAAAATTTTCAAGTTTGAGAATAGCTGGTTAAAGGAGGAGGAGTGTCGTACGGTGGTAGCCAATAGCTGGAGTGTGAGTACTCATCTCTCGGTCAATGAGAGAATTCTTTTTTGTGGATCCGAGCTTATGAGATGGGATGGTCGGCGTAAGAAGGGGTTCATGGAGCAGATTCAGGCATGCAAAGGGCGACTGGCATGGATACGTGGTAGAGATGATTGGCAAAGCACGAGTGAGTTTTTACGGGTTCGCTCTACACTTTATTCTTTGTTGGAAAAGAAGAATTTGTTCTGGAAGCAGAGGGCAAAAGAATTTTGGCTAAAAGAATGGGATATTAATTCCTGCTTTTTCCATAATGCAGTAAAGAACAGACGGCGGAAAAATAAATTGGCTGGGCTAAAGCGCACAGGTGGCTCGTGGTGTTCTGACAGAGATCAGGTGGGTGACATGGTGAGGGGTTACTTTGAGCAACTGTTTACCCGTGGCGACAGCATAGAGGTGGCAGACTGCTTTGGGGATTGCGGCTAGATCACGTCAGAACAGAACCGGTTGCTGCTTCGTGATGTAAGACCTGAAGAAGTGAGATCAGCTATTTTTTATATGCACCCCGAGAAAGCCCCAGGATCGGATGGTATGAATCCTGTCTTTTTTCAAAAATATTGGGATATTGTTGGTCCGGAAATATGTAGGCTTTGCTCCAATATGTTTAATTCAGGAAAAATCCCAAGAGAACTTAATGTGACAAATCTTGTTTTAATCCCTAAAAAAAGATAAGCCTGAAGATATGGGGGATTGGAGACCCATTGCGCCGTGAAACGTTGTTTATAAAAAAATTTCGAAGGTCTTAGCTAACAGGTTAAAAGTGTTGTTGGGAAATCTTATTGGATAAAATCAAAGTGCTTTTGTTCCGGGTAGGTCTATTGTGGACAATGTAGTGGTAGCTTTTGAGGCGCACCATTATTTGAAAAGAAAATGTTATGGCAAAGAGGGGTTTGTGGCTTTGAAACTTGATATGAGTAAAGCTTATGATAGAGTGGGTTGGGACTTCTTACGTGTAATCATGGTTCATATGGGCTTTGCGTTGAGATGGGTGGATTTGATTATGGAATGTGTTGCGACTGTCAGCTATTATGTGTAGTTTGATCGAGATTTCTTGGGACCGATTAACCCTGGCCGCGGGTTAAGACAAGGAGATCCATTATCCCCTTACCTTTTTATTATGGTGGCGGAAGGCTAAGTGCTTTGTTGAGGAAGGTCGAGGCTCGGGGCGACATACACGGGGTGGCAGTCTGTAGGGGGCACCTCGAATTTAACATCTTTTGTTTGCTGATGACAACTTTCTTTTTTGGCTAAAGGGTCAAATAGGTACATGAACTAAGTTAAAGTGTTCAATTAGCCCCTTATATAGGAGGTTCTGCCCGGCCGTCGCCAATTGGGGCAGTTCCCAGTTGAATTTTTCGATGAAATTTTTTGAGCATCTTCTTCATTAAGTCTAGTTTACCCATATCAAATTTCAACTAAAAATTAAATCGGAAAGGCAGTCAATTGATTTTCCGAAATGTATTGCGCTGTTTAACTGCACAGTTATCTTCAAAAAATCATTTGATTTCCTTCCCGGTTGAATGTTTAGCTGAAATTTGGTATGGGTAAACTAGACTTAATGAAGAAGATGCTCAAAAAATTTCATCAAAAAATTCCACCGGGGACCGCCCCAATTGGCGACGGCCGTTCAGAACCTCCTATATAAGGGGCTAATTGAACACTTTAAGTTAGTTCATGTACCTATTTGACACTTTAGCCTTCTTTTTTTCAGAGCTACCAGTGAGGAGGCACAGGTCGTTAAAAATATTCTTTCTATTTATGAGGAGAATTCAGGCCAAACAGTGAACTATGTGAAGTCTTCTTTGTCATTTAGCCAAAATGTTGGGGAGCAATTTAAAGGAACCTGTTGTAGCATTTTTGGGATCCCGGTGGTAGGGGGTCAAGGCAAGTACCTCGGTTTGCCAACTCTTGTGGGTAGAAATAAATTTGCTATCCTAGGCTATCTTAAGGATAAAATTTTTAGCAGAATTAAGAACTGGAATAATAGATTCTTATCTCGGGCAGGTAGAGCGGTTCTGTTAAAGAATGTGATTCAGGTTATGCCTAATTATGCCATGAATGTTTTTCTTCTGCCAAATAATTTATGTGATGAAATTGAGAAACTCATGAATGGCTTTTGGTGGAGGGGCACTAAATTTGAGCAGAAGGGATTGAGGTGGAGACGTTGGGATGCACTCTGTAAGCCTAAAAATATGGGGGGCTTAAGTTTTCGGAGAATAAGAGATTTAAATCTGGCAATGATAGCCAAACAGGGTTGGGAACTTGTGACAGAGCCAGCCAGTCTGATGTGCAGAGTGCTGAAGGCCATGTATTTTCTGAACTCAGATTTTCTTAATGCTCAGGTGGGGAATAACCCTTCTTTCATTTGGCGTAGTATTTTTGAGACACAAAATATTCTCAAAAATAATATCTGAAGGAGAGTTGGGAATGGGATCGATGTTCAAGTATGGGCTGATGCTTGGCTCCCGGAAGAGGGGGGGCGTGTTACATCTGCAAGACCAACAGGAATTAGAGACATGAATGTTGCTGCCCTACGCGATATCACTGGGAAACAATGGAATAGGGAGAGAATTATATAATATTTTTAATGCAGATGACAGGCGGAAGATTTTGAGTATACCCATTAGTGCCTATGACAGGAAGGATGTGTACTGTTGGAATGTGGAGATTAATGGGAGGTTTTCTGTCAAGAGTTGTTACCTCTTACTTACAGGGGAATTACAGATAGCGGACGGTACCAACTGGGCTCGGCTATGGGATTCGCATATCTCACTGAAGCTCAAATATTTTGTTTGACAGGTTATTGATGGCTCTCTCCCTACCGTGGATAATCTGAGGCGAAGAGGAGTGCAGGTTGTCAGAGGGTGTAAAGTGTGTGCTGATGAGAGTGAAGACACAGATCATGTGTTCCGATATGTGAATGAGCTCATGAGGTCTGGAGGCAGGTGGGGGTTGATCTAGGCAGCCCGGGAGATCTAGTGGATACGTGGATATGGCAGCACCTGGGTGGACCGAATGGGGAAGATCGATGCAAATTCATTGCTATTTTGTGGAGTCTATGGAAGAGGAGGAATGATTGAATGAATGGTCTGGAAGGATAAATGGCAAGGAGTTGTGGGGGTAAGAAACACGGCGGCAGGTATACTTTCGAGTTGGAGAGATGCGCAAGGCAATGAACGTACAAAGCAGGCTAGGAAAGAAAATAATCCCTTGACAGTTTGGAAACGATCGCATGATGGTTATGTTAAGATTAATGTGGATGGGGCGGTGGATGAAGGCAAATATACCCGAGCCTGGGGGTGGGTAGCACGGGATCATCATGGTAATTTTTTAAAGGCAAAAGGTGTAATACTCGAGACTAATTTAAGAGGATTAATAGTACTACTCATACCAACAGAGGTGCATCTCCTTTTAAGGGAGCTCATCTCCCAAGAACTCCAAAATTAAGCGTGCTTGCACGGGAGTAATCTTGGGATGGATGACCCCCTGGGAACTTTCTCAGGGCGCGCATGAGTGAGCACAAAGTGCGTGGTAAAAGCTCGTGGTGGTTTGTGAAGACACTATTAGAGGTCTGGAGGGTGTGTGGAGTAACTATCTCGGGTCCTGCGGGGCCGGGGTGTCTCAGAATTGGCTAGCTGGTATGTGGTGGAAACAGAGGCAATGGGAGTTCGTGATGCGTTGATGGGAGCGGCAGAAGCAGGATGGACACGCGTGGAGATTGAAACCGATGCTATCTCAGTGGTCCAACGTCTAAAAAATGGGGGAGGATCGTCTTACCTCTTCCTTATTCTTGATTATATTAGGCATATGTTGAAAGATAGGAGTAATTATATTGTCTCTTTTTGTAAGCGATCTGCGAATCGTGTTGCTCATGCGTTAGCAAGAGCACATGTGACTGTCTCAGATCCAGGGCCGGCTTGACACATTCAAAGGCCCGGTGCTAATAAAAAAATGAGGCCTTTTTGTCAAATGAAATGCATAAGGATTGTTCAATTCCAGTTACATAAGGATTGTTCAATTCCAGACTTGCGACAAGCATGAAGCTTACAAGCATACTGAAATTATCCAATACATTGAGTAAAATAAAGCATCCAAATAAAGTGTTCAAACTTAAGCACATGTTGCACATCATTCAATTAAAAAGAGCCATTCTCCTAACATTCTTCGAAGCAAATTCATCAATCAGTTCTTGGCAGTCCACTTTCTCCAAGACTTCTTTCTCTACGGTTATCAACGCTAAACCATTAAGTCGTTGTTGTGACATTGTTGAACGCAAGTAGGACTTCACAATCTTTAACTTCGAAAAGCTTCTTTCTGCAGAAGCAACAGTCACAGGAATAGTCAACAAAATTCTATATGCAATAATTGTATTTGGAAAACAGTCTAAGCCTTTTAAAAACTTCAAAATTTCAATAGGACCCATTTTTTTCAGGCAAAAGTTGTCTAAGTAACTTTAACTCAACACATAATTCATTTCTATCAATATCAGACTTTTCATTATGCTTAAGTGCATTTTCAAACTGAATGCAGCAAGCCTTTAAACTTCCATCATCTAATGCCTTTAATTTGTGAGAAGTAAACAAGAAACCAAAGACATTTTCATATTCCTGATATTGATCAAATCTGCTCTTTAGAGAAGTTAAGGCTCTATCAACAATGTAAAGAAAATAATTCACTTTAAATGATTCCTCCATTGACAGTTTAGCCTCAGGTGATGTATTTATATGCTCATCAAAATGTTTTTTCCTTCGAATTTCACGCCTTTGAGGAAATACTGGATCAATATTAATTTCAATAGCAATTTCCTTAGCACTATTTAAGGCTTCATTAAAACCAGTTTCTCTATATTTCTCGAAAAATGAAATCAACCCATTTATTTTTTCAATAGCAACATCAATAAGCATATCCCTTGATTGTAAAAACTTGCTAACCAAATTAATAGCACATAACACTTCAAACCAAATAACTATGGAAACTAAAAATTCAAAATCAGCAAGCTCGTTAATTGCTAAAGATTTAGCCTCACTTCTTATTTTAGGATCATTATCAATATCTGCTACTTCTAGTAAAGCTTCTCGAAATTCTGATATTTGAGATCTTATAGCTTTAACACTATCATCTCGACTCTCCCAACGAGTGGCTGACAATGGCTTTGGAGTCAACCCTTTTACATTATTTTTCAAAATTTCCCACCTCTTTGTTGAATTTGCAAAAATTGTATAAATACGTTGTATGATTCCAAAAAAAATCTTTAGCTTTGGTAGATGTATTGGCCATATCACACAATGCCAAATTAAGACTATGGCAGCCACAAGAAGTATAAAAAGCCTTAGGGTTAATGTCTAAAAGTCTCTTTTGCACTCCTTGATGTTTTCCTTTCATATTTGATCCATTATCATAACATTGTCCTCGCACATCAAATATACTAAGATCAAGATTTTCCAACTCAGTTTGTAAAGTATTAAAAAGCCCTTGGCCAGTTGTGTCATTCACATTCAAAAATCCTAAGAAAGATTCTTCAATGACTAGAGAATTAGTGGAGACATCCACATATCTCAATATCAAAGTCATTTGTTCTTGGTGACTAACATCATGAGTACAATCAAGAATAACAGAAAAGTATTTTGCTTGTTTTATTTTTTTAATGATTTCTGTTTTTATTGCAGAACCAAGCAAAAATATCAGTTCATTTTGAATAGTGTGCCCAAGATAATGACTATGAATATCATTATTTGTAATACGCCTAACATGTTCTTGCACAATTGGGTCAAATTCTGTCAAAAGTTCAATTAAACCTAAAAATTGCCATTGTTATTGTCATATAACTTTTCATTAGTACCACGAAAAGCTAAATTATGTTTGCCAAGAAATTTCACAACTGCAATAATTCTTAGTAAAAAATTTTTCCAATGTTCTGTCTCTTTCTCAATTTGTGCTTGAGCCATTTTATCAATAGTTTGATTCTTTGCAAATCTTAAGCGCACATCATACCAAGTGGCCATATTTTTTACATGTTCCATGCTAATTTCATGTTCTCTAAGTCTTTCACCAATATGTGCCCAGTCTGCAAACCCTTCATTCACTAACTGCCCTCTACCAATTCCTTTTTTAAAAATTTTACAACAAAAACAGAACACTTTATCAAGTTCTTTCGAATAAACAAGCCAATCTCTATCACACTTCTCCCCGTTTGATAAAACTCTAGTATACAAATTTGCAGTAAATCGTCTAGAAAATTTATCTTTAGGGCCCTTGACAATAGAACAATCTCTTTTTGGACCCTCTATAACTAGTAAATCAACCATTTTAGAGCTAAGACCATCCCAGTTTCTTGGATCAAATATATCTACCATATGAGATGTTTCTGGAGAATTAACTGGTCCTTCATTTTCGTTAATATCATCACCTACATCTGGAATTTCATTTTCTAAGGAGTTCACATTTTCATTCTCTAGATGATTATTATTGTCACTCACAACTAGCACATCATTATAATTTCCAGATCCTGCATTTACATTATCATTCACAATTATCACATCATCACAGCCAACCACATTAAAACTTTGATTTTCAACAGAAACTTGAGGGTCTCTTTTGATAAATTTATCAAGAGTTCCTGCTTGAGATTTTATTAATGCTTCAACTTTTCTTCTTTTCAAGAGCTTATCATGACCGGATTCATACTTTCTCATTCCAGGAGCCATAATATCAAGATTCAAGAAATCAAAATAACCTGAAATAGAGTTTAAAAAAGAGGGAAACAACCTGATATTTGGAGCTCTATTTGTAAGACTCAGACAAATGAATCAGGACTCAGGAGATCCAATACCAATGTAGCGAACTAGCGATGCACTGCCTACTGGCTACTGCCCTACATTTCTGTTCAGTTCATAAATAAAAAAAGAAACAAATTAAAATGAAAAAATCACAACTTCATAATATAAGAGGCCCTTAGAGGCCGAGAAATTAGACAACAAAAAGTGAAAGATTTTACCTTTGGCTTTGGCCGAATAACACGAGTAGCTGAATCGTTCGGCCAAGTCAAGAAATCAACTTCTTTTGTTTTTTTAGAAGAATCGCAGAATTTCGCAAAGAGATTCAAACCCTAAATGGAAAGCATGTGAGAAGCAGAGAGAAGATGAGAGATAGAGAAGCGTGCAATTGTGAATTGTCTAAACTCTAATGCCGACTTGTGTTTGGGAAGTGGGATGATTTTTAGCTTTTTTATTTTAATTTAATTTAATTTAGAGGCAGGAGTGTAGAAGTAGGGTTTTGAGTTGGGCCTTTCGAAGTTTAACCGTGTTTCAAAATTTCAAATGGGCTGTTCGTAGTTCGTATTTCAAACATTTATTTATAAATTAAACAATTATTATATATATATATACTATATATATTTTAAAAAAATTGGGCCTTCTAATTTTTGAGGCCCTGTGCAGAGGCTCTGTTTGCACAGCCTCATAGCCGGCCCTGCTCAGATCAATGCTATTGTAAGCCTATTAAGCCTATTGTCAGTTGGAGATTAAAAAAAAGTTGTTTTATACCACCTGTAATAGTAAAGAGTACTACGTATTAGAATAGATTATTTTCAAAAAAGAGAGGAAAATGTTTTGGAATGAGTCAAATAGGAAAGTATGATAATTGTTTGAAAATAGAGTGAGGTTTTAAATTGTTTTTACTCCTATCGAGTCCTACCACTAATATTATACTTCTAGACTTCTAGTCTTTCACCCTTCTAGGCTCTTGAGTAATCCAAAAATTTGTTGCTTATGGCAGTTGCTTTATTTTTGTTTTTTTAACACTAGATTGTCCCGATTTTGTCAGATTAATTTGGAACCCCAACAACCACCTTTGGCCTTTGACAAAGTAAATTGCAACACGTTAGAACAATTTTTCAAGTTCCCTTTTCGCTAGATGTTCGAGACTCGAGAGCACTTGTAATGAGAAAAAATAAAGGGACTTCAAGCGTTATATTGTCAAAAGGCACATGTACAGTCATAAGAACTTCGTTTGTTTATTTCCTCGCAAAAGAAATTGATAAAATGCATCTACGAGTTCCCGGCTTCTCGTTATAAAATTGGAATCACCGTTGATTGATCAAGACTTTCAGACTTAAAGTAACATAAAAATCCATGACCATAATATCAAAAAAATTATAAGTTCCCATCTTTCAAACTCATGAGAACGAACAT